TGCAAATCCGCCTCTCTCCACTGGCCGCTACGGAGCTACGGCCCTTCCGGGGCATGGTGCTGATTTATCCCAGCCAAGGAGCTGGGCCCAGGACGGTAATTTCTGGGCTGCCTGAGAGCACCGAGGTGGGGCTGGCCAGAGAGGGCACCAGTCTCCATAAGCCGGATATGCCCCGGCCCTTTGTGGCTCTTTCCTTGGGTTGCAAATCCGCCTCTCTCCACTGGCCGCTACGGAGCTACGGCCCTTCCGGGGCATGGTGCTGATTTATCCCAGCCAAGGAGCTGGGCCCAGGACGGTAATTTCTGGGCTGCCTGAGAGCACCGAGGTGGGGCTGGCCAGAGAGGGCACCAGTCTCCATAAGCCGGATATGCCCCGGCCCTTTGTGGCTCTTTCCTTGGGTGACTCCAGCTGGTTTCTTTCTCTCGTGAGAGTGGCTCATCCTTGCCCGGATCCAGGGTACGGAGCAGCCCCCTCACTGCTCTGCGTCAGCCGTGGGGCCCCCCGCGCAGCCTCTGAGTGACAAGGGGGGTCCCTGGACCTTCTTGCAGAGGCAGTAGGCCTCACGGGGGAGGTGAAAGGGACACGGGACCCTGAGAACGGCCAGAGGGGATCAGACCTAGGGCCCATCTAGTCCAGGATGCTATCTGGGACAGTGGCCAGCAGGAAACCCACTGTAGTAGGCAGAGATGGGGCAATCTCTCCCTCCTTGCCCCCCTCGGAAGGTATCTTCCCATCCCTAATAATGGGTTGTCTGCCCCGCCCACCTTGGGACACCCCTGGAGTTGGAAACTGAGGCCCAAAGCTGGGAAAGCCCTCGGAGCAATAGAGGGGCCGGAACCCTCCCAAAGTGGTTTATGGGATTAGCAGCATCAGCTAGGACAGAACCTGAGCATCACCCTCAGGGTCTACTCAGCTCTGTGGTCCTGATTCAGAGAAACGCTGCCAGCACGTCTGTGCGTAGGCCTGGGCTCCAGTGCGCCCGGCCTTGCAGCAAACCCCCCCGCCAGCACGAGCCCAGGGCTTGGCCGGCGCGCTGACTAACGCGGAGTTCCATTGCTTTGCAGGCGCTGAGCTCTGCTGGGGGACGCGGCGGGAGATAAGCTACCAGGAGGCACGATCTGGGATCCCATGGCCTTTCGGACCAGCGGGCGTCATGCCCCCAAGCACAGTCCAGCAGGACACAACCAAGTGCCAAATGCAGTGGAGCTGAGCAGCACGACGGCCCGTGGACCCCGGCCACATCAGGAAGCGTAACTGACCTCGGAGCATGGACTTGCCCTGTGGGGCCTGGCGGCTGGGGAAGGGGCCAGGCACGAAGGAGCCAGCCAGCACGTGAGTGTGTGGGCTGGGACACCTCCCTCTCTGCTGGCTAATTCTCTCTGGTTACTCGAGGGGGCTCAGAATAGGATGGGTGATGGACCTGTGAGGGGAGGTGCCGTGGGCGTCGACACCAGTCTCCATGGAGCCTTCACTCCCTACCCAATGGGCGTGGAATTCCTCCAGGCCGGGGAGGCTGCTCCACACTGCCCAGAGCACCATGCACCCCAATTCCAGCCTGGACACCAAAACCCGGGACGTGGCCTCGGAATCCATCGGGCTCCTCTTCATGCTCTTGATTGACCTGACGGCCATTGTGGGCAACGTGGCCGTGATGACCGTCATCATCAAGACACCAGCACTGAGGAAATTTGTCTTTGTTTTCCACCTCTGTCTGGTGGACCTGCTGGCAGCCCTGACCCTCATGCCGCTGGCCATGCTGTCCAGCTCCGCCTTCTTCAACAGCACCATGTTCAGCGAGGCCATATGCCGTGTCTACCTCTTCCTGAGCGTCTGCTTCATCAGCATGTGCATCCTCTCCATCTCGGCCATCAACGTGGAGCGCTACTACTACGTGGTGCACCCGCTGCGCTACGAGGTCAAGATGACCGTCGGCCTGGTGGCCTGCGTCCTGGTGGGGGTGTGGGTCAAGGCGGTGGTCATGTCTGTCATCCCTGTCCTGGGCTGGCTCTCCCCAGAGCGTCTCAGCGCGGCCCCGGCCTACAGCAGCCGGAGCTGCTCGCTGCAGTGGAGCCAGAGTTCCTACTGCAAGTTCTTCGTGGTTTTCTTTGCCCTCTTCTATTTCCTCCTCCCCGCCCTGATCATCCTCGTGGTCTACTGCAGCATGTTCAAGGTGGCCAGGGTGGCTGCCCTGCACCACGGCCCACTCCCCACCTGGATGGATACGCCGCGGCAACGGTCGGAGTCGCTCAGTAGCAGGTCCACCATGGTGACCAGCTCCGGTGCCCCTCGGACAACCCCTCAGAGGACGTTTGGGGGGGGGAAGGCTGCTATCATTCTCCTAGCAGTCGGGGGGCAGTTCCTCTTCTGCTGGCTGCCCTACTTCTCCTTCCAGCTCTATTCGGCTCTGGGCCCCCAGCCCTTCCCGGGCCGGCAAGTGGAGAGCGTGGTCACCTGGATTGGCTACTTTTGCTTCACTTCCAACCCTTTCTTCTATGGGTACCTCAACCGGCAGATTCGGGGGGAGCTGCTATCATTCTCCTAGCAGTCGGGGGGCAGTTCCTCTTCTGCTGGCTGCCCTACTTCTCCTTCCAGCTCTATTCGGCTCTGGGCCCCCAGCCCTTCCCGGGCCGGCAAGTGGAGAGCGTGGTCACCTGGATTGGCTACTTTTGCTTCACTTCCAACCCTTTCTTCTATGGGTACCTCAACCGGCAGATTCGGGGGGAGCTCAGCAGGCACCCCAGCTGCTTCTTCAAGCAGCCGCCGGCGGAGAACCTCAGG